GGAGCCCCTAGTAGCGTCCTTGCTCCTAGTAGCGATGCCAGGAGCCCTAGTAGCGTCCTTGTTGTGATGAAGCAAGAAAAACTTCTGCCTGAGGAGTGCTCCTGCTGCTCCATCCAAGCCTGTGCCATCCGAGCCCACACCATCCAAGCATCGAATCCTGGACAGCCAAAGAGCAGAAAGTCATCCAACAGGTGTCACTTATTGGGGTTGGAGGCCATCGCTATTAGGAGCGATCGGAACGCTACGTTCGGGGCTCCTGGCCTTAGTAGTAGGAGCAAGAGGACGCTACTAGGAACCAAGAGCATCACTACGAACGGAGCGATCGGACGCTATTAGGTTGGGGCAACAGAATACTCGGCGATGTCGTCACGCACCAACAACTTGAGGCCAGCTTTCCAAGTGGGCTCTCGAGTCAGGCATGGAAAGACCATCAAACAGCTGTGAAGACAATGAAGAAATAGGTGTATTAAGACTGGCTTACGAGACAACGACTTTCCATGCCAGTCTGGCAAAGCCTGGAATTGAAACCAATTGGAAGTATCAACGAAGCAGATGTGAATACTCAATACTGCGCAGCAACCTGATTGTACAAAGCTGCTTGGAGTGTTTGATTCCGGATTTTGTCCATGAAGCAATCTCAGCCAATGGTCAAACATGTCAAAGAATTGTCTCTGTGGAGGCTGATTGGTCTGGAGACTAGGCCAGAGTTGAATCATCGGACAGCTTCCATTGTGGACATCCAGGGGTCCAGGCGCAGTGAGCTGTGACATGGAATAATTGAATATTGGAAGAGTTTTGTTGAGAGAACACAATTTTGTGGAGTTGACAATGCAGGAGTGTGGTTGAGGTTTCTTTCCGTATGCCATTTTGGCTCCAGCTGAGTCGAACCACAGGTGGGCATGGGGGAGTTGGTGGTTGCTGCCGTTCCTGAAGATCGGTGGGAGTTTGAGCCCCTGGTCGTCGTGGGATCGGTGTGGGCCCTGACTCTGTTGGTTGGCATCGCGATCGGGTGGGCGTGCTCACCTGCCCCTCGGTCAGCGGCCAGCCAACGAACCCAGCTAGCCTGGGAGCGACTCGCACGCCGTGCCATCCGCTTTGTCAACAAGCGGCGCCTGGTGGGTGTGGCCTTCAACGGCTACAAGAGATTCACCCTCCGGAACACCGAGGGATCTCGTCCAACTCAGGGCCGCAAGGCGCGGAAGAGATCAACTACACCTGGAGCTCCCCTACTTCACGAAGGACCAGCCGTAAGTAATGGATCCAACAGAAGGTGAGCTTCAAGCCATCACCAACCTGGCGGAAGCCAGAGGGTGGGCTGGAGTGGAAGGGCCGCTAGCAGAGGCCATCCAAGCCGCACTGGGTCAGCCGGCACGAGTGCGAGAGATCGCGCTCATTCCTCGGCCAACGTGGGATCGAGTGGTCAACAATCTACAGATCCAAGATGCTGGAGATCCTCGACCACCGGTGAGGGCGCCAACGCCAGTCGAAGAAGCGAGACTGGAGTCACTCAGGAGAGTGTGCTGCCTGAGGTCAGGTCGGACCATCGACCAGCCAGGCGACCCTGCCGCTGCAGCGCCGGCAGTGGCACCGGCCCCCTTCCCGGCAGTGGGAGGGGCCGTAGGGGCTCCAGCGCCCGGGGCTCCTCAGGCTCGCAAGTTGAAACTCAGCGCAGTCCTGGACCCCACCTTGGACGCAGAGATTCACCCATTGGGTGACGCAGAAGTCACTGGCATGCACGAGCGTTACCGCAACCGCTACGGAGACTTTCCCAGCGTCGATGCAGACGTGAGTCGAGACCAGTTGGCGGCATTGAGCCAGGTCTTAGCGGCACAGGCGGTCCCGTACGCCGACTTCTCAATCTTTGGCCCACACGGTCAGCGACTCCTTCGCCGGCAAACCTTTCAGAGCTATAGCCTCAACGTCTCCACAGGCGAGTGGGCAAAGAAGGAGCAACCCGGGCCCTCTTCATTCTACGAATGGTACAAGGCCTGGAGATGCTACAGGACCGCACTCCTCCTCTTGGAGGCGGCAGAGGCTGAGAGGCTGGATGCCTATGCCGAACACATCCGAGGGTTCGTAACCCAGTTCGGGGAGGAGGCATGGCCGTTCATCTGCAAGGCCGACAGCCGAATGCGGTCTGAACAGCTCGAAAGGTTGAGGCGGGAACTCCATGCCAATCCAACATTTGGCTTCACCGCAGCCGCCCCTTGGAATGCCTGCTACGCCTATGCCGTGAAGGACACGGAGTTTTGGAACAAGGAGCTGACCACACCTACGACTCTGTTCCTCGCCCGGT